AAACTAGGAGCTAAAAGAGGCTAAAATGCTCTGTAGAGATTTGTTCATCGTGGGTTTACAGTGTAGCCTCGCTGTGTGGTCTGTCCCCATTTGGACTCACAGCTGTGTTGGAAACAAACGCAGCTATTAACATCGATAGTCTTTATGAAGTGTGGTGGTTTTGTTAAGGGAGAAGTCCAGAAGTTTGTTACGGAACCTCAACCTTCTCGCTGTTTGGTGCTTGGGATGGCGACAAGTCCAAAAAATGACAAAGGCTGTATTTTACTTTAATCGCTTAAGTTAATAAATTAATAATAAGTTAATCACCCTGGATTAGAGTCAGATAAGAACAAATGTAGAAATGGAAAGTGGCATTTCAAAGTCACAATATATAAAAATTTTGGTTACTGATGTGTTCATGAGGCAGATGATCCAGGTGTGTTTAAAGAGATAAAATGTTTAAAATCAAGGTTTTTAGGAACATACACTTACAAAAAAAAAAATGTAATTTTGTGGAAACAACATAGGACAAAGTGCCCACAGACATTTTCACTGGAAACGGCGTCCGGCGCTCAGAGATCAGAGGCAGAGCGGAGCTGTCTAAACACTGGCGATGGATGTAACAGAATACTGAGTTTGAATGATGGGCAGCGAGGAGAGCACGCCATAACAAGTTCACAGCCAGTTCATCAGTCTGAATGAGAGGAAGAGAAGAACGGAGACGAGGAAGAGAAAATAGGTTTACTGAAGAAAAGACGGCACATTTACAGCTCTAACTGCAGCGTGCTGTACTTACACTGTAGTATTAGTATGTGTGTTTCTAGTCAGCTTAGTAGTGATGTTAATATTACAAAGAGCACATGTGAATTTTATTTTCACTCATATGTTGAACAGAATGGCACATTGGAAAAAAAATGCAGAATTCACATACAATAAGGGTGTGTTTGTCAGATATTTCACATATGTCAAATATAAGCACATGGGGTTTGGGGGCATTTCACATTTGAATGATCATATTTAGCATAAGAAAAAAATATATAATAATATTTATAAGAAGCCTGAGCCATGACACTAAAAGCCTCAAAACAAACATGAAAATTAAGTTTTTCAAACCTTGAGTTCAAAGATTCATTATTGACTTTGGAAGTAAGATGAGATAAGAAAGAACTTAATTTATCCTGAGGGAAATTTTTGTGCAGCAGTTGCTGTACAAAGTAGGAAGAGTGCTAATATGAAATATCAATAAACAGATCACAAAACCCAAAGTATAAACAAGGTTAACTGTAAGCATCACAAGCGTCTCATATCTCCAGTTGCTTAGTGAGTTGCATATAGATATGTATTAGTTTGACAGAAAATTATTAACACAATGTCAATTTACAGATATTTCTGTAGCTTTCACCAAAATCTTATGGTCTTTATCAGCAGTTTGTTTAGTTGTTCTGGAGACAGCTGTTATCATGTTATGTTTAAGGTCTTAGTCACATGAAGGCCACACGATGTGGCTGCAAGCTCCGGAAAATTCATTATAATCTTGTACTTTATTTTGTCAAACATTTTTCAAACCTCTTTGAACCTTTTTTTAATCTAAAAAAAAAAAAATCTGTTTCAGCATCATTCACAGTTATATTTTATTGTTAAACATCATCAGTCTTATAGTTAAAGTACTACTAGTAGTGTAGTAATAATAAATAAATAAATAAATAATATTAGAAGTAGTAAAACAAGTATATATGAACATACAGCATATAAGGAAATTCCAGGATGTATTTGAATCTATCATAGGATATTTTGAAATACATATTGTCATCTTTTAATATATTATAAAGTAAAATGGCATCTCTTATCATTTAGAAGTATATTAAAAGTATATTTTACAATAGATGAAGTGTTGATAACTGATGTTTGTCAGTATAGGGAAAATTATTATTATTTCACAGTGAATTCCAGATATTATATTATTATAGTATATAGTTTAGTGTGTGTTATTTTCTTTTTTTTTCAGTTAACAAAAGAGGCCAAAGTTCTCACATGTTTAACGTTGTCCAAACAATGTTAATCCCTTCCTTAAACAAGCAGCTGTGCAAGAATTTTGCTTAAATAAAATAATCTAAAACTGGTGAAATGATGGTTTGAATCAGGAAGTATTTGATCAAAGAATAAGTAAAACACAAGTACGGGCCAAAAGATTGTTTTTACTGAACTCACCTCCTGTCGGTCTGCGTGTATTTGTCTCTTCGCCATCTCCTCTGACTCTCTGTCGGCTCTCTGCACCATGAACTTTCTAATGAAGCTCTAAGGCTGTGAAAATAATGTGAGTGTGTCGCTGTGGACGGACGATCACAGCTCATCTACAGCCGACACTGCTCTGTTCAGCAGGGAGGAATTCTCTCTGCTAGTATTAATGCAGACTATGTTAGTGTACATAATGAAGAGTGAAAGTGTAGTGACAGACTTTATGTTTTATGCTCGTGATTCTGAGAAACATAGATCTAATTATTCTCTTTGCGAGAGACGGTGTATCTATAAAAGACTCAGAAACAGAGAGGTTGTCGGTTCAAATACTGTCTGCTAACTTCAGTGAAAGACAATTCTGTTCAAAACTTCCACATTCTTTATAATAAAAAAAACTTTTAGGTCACTTATTGGAACTTTTCCGAAGCTTTCAGCGAGTGGTAGTACTGGAGTTTTTAACTGCTTTGAAGCAGCATCAGTTTAATACTGATGCCTTTATATGACCTACATAAGCACCATGAGTGACATGATTTTTTCTGTATGGTTATTCTTAATGACTGCCACCAGGTTGCATTCGTTTGGATTCCCCTTGAAATCAACAAAATGAGCCGATGGAAACACTACCACTTTTGTCCACAGGGGCCGCCAGAATCAACACCAAATGAAAGTTCCTTTTTGCTTCTTTAAGTAAATGTATTAATACCACCCTCTAAAAATACTCAAAAGTCCTGCATTTAAATGTGGCTTCAGTAAAAGTATTTAGAAATAAGGAAAATGTATGAAAAATATTAAAAGTATGTAGTTAATAAAACACCATATTTTATAAGCTGTTAATATGTTTTGTGCATTCATTTGTAAAGTAAAAGTAGAAAGTGGCATGAAAATAAAAGATTCAATTAAAGCACCAGTACCTCAAATTTGTACATAAGTACAGTACTTGAGTAAATATATTAGTCTTTCAGCCACATCTTGTAGCCTCTACCTGCTGATGGAGGATGTCAGATGTGGCCGATTGAATAAAAGAGATCTTTAATCTTTTAGGAATAATTAAACATTTTGTGAAAAAATTCTTTCTTTCTGAAAAGATCGAAACCTCTCTCATGTCCTCAAGTATGAAGTTGGAGTCCTGTGACCCTTCATCCCTTCTCCCTCCTCCTTGCCCATCTATCTTGAGCTGTCCTATCAATAAAGGCAAAAAAAGCCTTGACTAACTAATGAACTAACTTTTAGCAGCCCCTCTAAAGATAGATTATTAAACGGTTGAATCCCATTTGTCTGTACACAAACATGTAAAAATGACAGTGTGTGGTTTTTGGGGAGCTACGTGCTGGAACTATTTCTAGCCAAATAACAACCAGGTCAGTGAAGTCCGAAGTCTTTCCAAAATGTTGAACTCTTTCTTTAATGTATATACTATGTTGGGCTTTCTACCTTTTGAATATGTTAGTTTAGTTTTAATATCTAGAAAAAAAAACATTTTCCTGTCTTCTTCTTCTTGTGTAGTCAGGTACACAGGTACCAAAGGATGGCATACAGTGTAAACCCAGGGTTCTCATTGGTTAAGACTGTTGTTGAAGTAGTTTGAACAGTAGATGGTCCAGCACTGTGGAGAAATCAGCCTGTAGAATTTTTCCCATTTACTCGACCGTGAACCTGTGTTACATTTTGTGGTTTATAAATGACCATAATATGGTTTAATTTACTTCTATCAATCATGGTGTAAAAGTAGCCATCACTCTCTCAAATGGCGGATATTTAATTTTGGGAAAACCAGAAAAAAACAACAACATTAACATCCTGTTCCTCTCAGTGCTTTGTGTGCTCTGTGGGAGTTTTGTGTCCAGATAATAATCTCTCATTATGTTGCTACAGTCAATTAACATCCATTACTGTCAGACTGCATCTCTGAGTAAATGTTGACACTCGCTAATTCCCAGCAATACGCTGCTCGCCACATTTAACCTGGAAAAACACGCCAGAGAGGACTTTTTTCCCCCTCATTTGGACAGTTTCAAACACATTGCATTCATGATCCTCCTCTTACTTCCTCTTTCTTTTTTCTTCGGATTCAGTTTTTCACTTTTTTTGTCAAAAGGATTTTTTATGCTACCACTAGTTTTAAATAATCATTTAAAACTCACTTTTGACTGTAAGCATCATTAAAATAACTCTTCAGTTCAACAGACAGAGCTGCAGGTTGTTCTTTAAGAGTGCACAGAGCTCCAATAAAGGCAAATAAACAGTGTTTATCCCCATGAATTAATCCTCCTACACAGCTCTTTCAGCGAATTCATGTTTCATTCACAAGATATATTCAAGGTTTTTGTACGTCCTTAAAAACATGTCAAATTTAATATTGATGCAACCTTTATTTTTTCCAATCATCTTGAATTAAAGGAAATGGTGTAAACAATATGTCACAATAAATGTCACAATAAAGACATTAAAATAAAAATAAAGACAATTAGGGAAGAAAATAAGGACATAGGTTACTTGCGGCCTTAAATCAAATCACACTCAACGTTAAAATTGAAGAGAAAGACAAAGAAACTTTTGTTAAAAATATGATAATCTTAGACTGAAATCAGGGTGTAAACAGAACATTTTACTTCAAAAAATTTGTTTTAGATTAAAAATGTTAATTTTAAAATGTAAAATTTAAACTAAGGGTTTTTGTTTTTAAATCAAATGCTGCACCAGTACATTGTTTCATAAAAATGTATGCTTTTTATCTCTCTCTGTGTCTGTGTGTTATAAAAGGTAATAATCTCCCCTTCTACCTCCAGGTTGTGACATGTGCGCAGACAACAGGAATGGCGAGTGTCCGATGCACGGCCCTCTTCACTCTCTGCGTCGTCTGGTCGGCACCAGCAGCACGGCGGCACCCGTCACCCTGCCGGACGTCCCTGATTGGCTCAGAGACCTGCCCAGAGAGGTGAGACTTCCTGTCTGTCTTTCTGTCTGCTCTCTGTCTTTCTGCCTATGTAGCTGCTTGACTATTGTATTTTACAATGTTTTAAGGAAGTTATATTAGAAATTTCACATCAGAGAACACCTTTTATCCACAATGGGATAAACTCTGCTGTTTAAGGCCAGTCCTCTTTATATTTGAACAAAAACATGTATTTCTATTGATTACAGCAATTGATTTATCTTCACCAAAAGTACCTTTATTAAAGGAAAGGATTTGTGTACTACCACTACCAGTGTATCCTGGTTTGAAAGTCAATGATGTTGCCTACACAGTTCAGTCAGATGTTCTGCGGCTCGCCAGCTGTTGTACTGCGGTTTGCGGTTTTCTGCACTTTTTGCATGGACAAGGTAACATTATATGATTATATGTTAAACAAAGCATGGTAAAGGAAAGTGACTCAGAAAACAATAAGAGGACACTGTAGAGGAGCTGTGTTAGTTTAGCAGGTTATTCTGGGTCTGCAGAAAAAAAGAGAAAGACAGACCACAGGTGAACAAGAGTGCTGCATTGTCACAATGTAGAGAAGTAAAAGTCCTGCATACAAATTCTTACATTAGTAAAAGCACTGACCTTGGTGTCCTGAATAGCTTTTCAATGCATAGAAGTACACTGTATAAATATCTCTATGTGTGTATGCAGGTGTGTCTGTGCACCAGTACAGTTCCTGGTCTGGGTTACGGGATCTGTGCAGCTCAGAGGATTCCACAAGGAACCTGGATCGGCCCGTTTCAGGGAGTCCCGCTGCTGCTGGACAAACTGCACTCTGGGGCCGTCAGAAACACAAGACACCTGTGGGAGGTAAGAGGGTGGGAACGGTGTGGATTTATGGGTGCTGTAGTGTCCAAAGAGCCTCGCAGCATTTTTCATTTGTACGACGAGTGGCTTCAGTGGAAAGTGAACCCTCAACCCTGTCCGTAGATGCACAGGAATCGAATCCCTGTCTGGATGATGACAGGTGTAGGTGCGTGTATGTGGTTGGCCAGCGTGGAAAATTCAACATCAGAGATTTTTTCCAAGATTTAGTTCCAACAAACTTTTTTTTAAAGATATTTTGGACAATATAGGTATGATTGAAATGTGTTGAGTGTCATCTGAGTGGAGATATAAGATATCAGGGTTGTTTATCACCTTAACGACACTGACTGGGAATGGGAAGTATGGGGAAATCTGTAACTCATTTTGCTATGTATTGCTGCTCCACATAAAATAAGATTAACTATCATCATTACAACTAGCCCAAACAGTCTCTCAAAAACAAACCTATTTATCTATTTCTATCAATTTATTTATTTTTGAGAAATGCAACCACACTTCTGTTGTTTCTACAGTTTGAGAAAGCAAACAAGTTTGAGGCATGTTATTGCAGGTCTTGAAAAGTATTAAAAAGCATTGTATTCAGTTTCTGGGAAAAAAGGCCACAGAAGTCTAAAATTGAACTTACAAGTATTAAATATCGTCCCTAAACCAACAGTGGGATTGTGGTGCAGGAGGCTGTTTAATCCTTTTTTGTGGTGTTTAAGTCAGAACCATCAGACCTGCAGTGAGCACTGTTACAACAGCAGCTAGGAACTAAAATAAACTTAACTAAATTAATCATTTTTAAATGGGTAATCCATCCATCAATTTCATGCCGGTCCAGCTTACATCATTTAATTAATTATATCATTAGAAATGATTGTTACGAGTGGAAAGTACTGAAAAAGAAATAAATAAAATTATATTTCGGCAAATTTAACTTGGTGAACCTGCAGAACATCCCGTGCTGGCTGTGCATGTTTATTGTTGGTGAGTGCCAGTTGTGTGGTTCTGTTTGTATTTGAGTGTGTGTGTGTGTGTGTGTGTGTGTGTGTGTGTGTGTGTGTGTGTGTGTGTGTGTGTGTGTGTGTGTGTGTGTGTGTGCTTGTGGTCAGCGTCATGTCACCTTTCAGTCCATTGATCAGAGCAGATTGTATTTACATACAGTGGCAGGAGAAAGTCAATGTGGCAGTTATAAACAGCTGCATTAGCATTAGCGAGAGAGAGGGAGAGACAGAGAGGGAGAGGGGGGAGAGAGAGAGGGAGTGAGGGATGCTGGGAGACAGAGAGATAGATGAGTCCCTTGTGGCCGAGCTGGTAAAGGTCAGTCAGACGTCGGTTGACCGGACATCAGTCTCTCTGCTGTTGACCGCAGCAGGACATCAGGAGGGGGGGAATAGGGGAGATGGGTTGGTAGGTGAGGTGGGGTGGGGGTGGTCTGCAGCGGGTCATAGGTCAGAGGTCACAGGGGGTGGGGCATGCACACATCATAGGCCAAGTCCAGCAGGGGCAAGGAGCTCATCATGTCAGGATTTGTGCTTCAAACAGAGAACATGAAAGCACTGAATTCACTGACAGCAGGATTTTCCTGATAATCTGTCTTGAAGTATTTTATCTGATACATCTACAGTCGCAGTCGGACAGTTTTTCATTTCAGTTCCTTACCTGTCGATCACTTTCAGCTGTCAAAGGCACAGTCAAACAGCACTTTGAGTGTCTTAAGCCTCTGTAATGTGACATATATGTGAGCTGGGTAAGAGGTATACGATCTAACTATACTGGAACTGGATCGGATAGCTCAAAAGTGGGCCTGATGATATCCACAAGCTAATGGTCAGGTTCAGTTTTATGTGTTGGGCGGATATAAACTCTCTCCAAATCACATCACATTTGACTGGATACTCAAAATATTGGAACATATAGTAACAGAGAAAAGTTATTTTTTATATATTTGTATATAATAAAATGTTTTTGACATATTTACACCAAGAAATAGTAGAACAAGAATGCAGGGACACTGGATTGGAACTTAGAAAATGTTTATTTCATTGAACCGAGTCTTCAATAAGAACTGACAGATGATTCATAAGGCGACATTTAAAGTGATCACTGAGTGATCTTTTGAGTGTGACACATTTTCTATTTTCTATATGTTACAACTTAATTTTCAGAATATATATACTTCTTTCACTTAAAATGATAACTTTATAATGTTAAAATGTTCTCAGTACTAGAACTTTACTCTCATATACAACTTTTTACCCCAAAATTTGTTTTTACTCTTCTCTTAAAATCTAGAGGTAGAAAGTCACTTTGTGTCATTATTTGTTAGAGATAAAACTGTGAATGTCCAGCCATATTGACATCCAGCTCATTAGCCAGACTGGGATTTATTTATTAACTCAAATATAATATAATTGTAAGATTATTTGAATTTGATGCTTGAGTGATAAAAAGACTTAAAGATTATAGTTACATCTTCATTTAAATAACTGTTCCTAAGATTACCAAAATCAAACCTTTATTCAGCTCAGGAAATAGCTGTTTCTTCACAGGTTATGAGATATGAAAATATACAGGGTGTAAAAATACTAGAGGAAACTATGTTTTAAATACTAATAATTTCTGGATATACAATAAAATCTGGAGTAAAGGGGGGGGAGGTATAATCTTGTGTTCTCTACAGTGTTTTTTAGTAAATTACCCACATTCATGGATTGTACAGCTCTGATTGAGTCTTTGTTGTTGTATTTGGACTCAGCAGAGTCGGGCTGGGACCCAGTATGGGGTCTAAAACCAGCCTTTGAACCTCTTGGCCCTGGAGAAATGCTGATCCGATAACCCGGCCCTAACCATCGGCAGATTATCGGCTGCCGGGCTAAAACCGGTCATTAGGCCTATTGATGAAGAAGCTTTACACACAGATCCCATTAAAACTCACTGGTTGTTAAACTCGCTTATTGATGCCCCCCAAAACAGGAAGAGATATTTGTCCTATAGCCAATCAGGGAGCTTGTGTCATGTTGTCTATGGTGTCCAGGAAGGGCCAGTTTTAATTAAGACACTTGCCGTTATGTCTGGGTGGAACAGTGGAGGATTTTCTGGTGCTGCAGTATTTTACGGCTCGACAAATTGATCTCCTCTGAGGCAGAGCTCAGTGTTTGAGAGTTTATGGAGGAATAATTCTTTAACTATCTGACCTGGAGCTTTGTCACTTACTGTTTCTGTACTGTGGTGAAGAGTTCTTAATACAAACATTCCTTTAATATCAGTATTATTTCTTGTGATTTTTAACCCCATATAGGTGGGCTGTGATGAAGGACAGTGAATTATTTACAGAATGCTGTATAGATTATGTTTAGTTTAGTTGATTAATCAGTTAATTGATGAAAAATGAATGGACAACAATTTCTCTTTCTTTCTTCATTTTCTGGTTTCTACAATGTGAGGCTGGGGTGCTTTTCTTTTTATTATTTTTCATAATTGTAAACAGAATATCTTTGGACTGTTGGTCAGACAAAACAGGAACTCTGAAGATTTCCTCTTGAAGTCTGCTCCAGTATCCATGCAATAAGTCATACATAGATCATTTGAAGAAGGAAAAAGAAAGGAAGGAAAGACAGAAAGGAGAAGGAAGGTAATATAATGGTAATGATGGAAGGAAATAGTGAATGAAGAAAAGGAAAAAGAGGATAAAAAGAAGTAAACAGAAAAGAGAAGAATAGAAGGAAATAGGAAGTAGAGAAGGAATGCCAAAAGGAAGCACAAGAAGAAAGATATTCATGATGTTTTCTGTGCTTATCTGATGCTGAATGTAAAAATCCTTGTTTATTTACATTTAGTTTATTAACATATGTTTTTGGACATTTAAAAACTTTGAGAAAGCTCAGATAGCGAGGTGCAAAATAATCTATTCTTATTCCATCCAAATGTATTCATGTCACAGTGCTCACCTCCAGTAAACCGCATTTTATTAATGTGATTTCTGTTAAAAGAGTTGTCACAAAAAAAGTGGAGGAGATGGACGCAGCTGTACAAGTTGTTGTAAATTGGCTTTCAGAAATAGCAACTCTTAGATCATCATATTTCTTTGTTAAGTTAACTGCTCCCAGCAACCACCACTGCACCTTCCTGATTGGTTACGGTAAAACAAAAGTGCCTCCCAAACACAAAGGATGTCAAGGAGACAAATGGTATTTTAGTCTAATAAGCATCTAGGATATTATCTTTTGTGAAATCTGAATTTTTAGGGCAGTACCTCCAGCCACAAGATAAACATAGTAAGAAATATAACATTTCCCTGTGAAATGTAGTGAAAAAATGTCTCCTATAGTGGAAACACTGTACTCCAGCAAAGTACCAGAACCTCAGACTTGTACAGTAATTGAGTGACACTGCAATAAATATTCCCACTTTCATCTGACCGTGCTTGTTGAGGGAAGGGAAGGCAGTTTCTCATTTTCCCCCTGCCTGGATTTTCCCGAGGATTCGGACCGAGGTCGTTCTGATTGAAAAGAATGTGCAGTGAAAACATGAGAAACGTCCTGAAGTCACAGCTCTGACCTCGTCCTCTGGGGTTTTACGGGAGTTTTCTTTTGGACAGATCCGAGACTGGACGAGCTGTCAGCACAGAGTCCGTGAAAACAGCCCCAAACATCATAACTTCAGAGCAGCAAAGAAAGGAAAACTTCAGCTGCACAGTTTGAGGCAAAATATTTTGTTAGTGTGGGATGTTGATGAGACACATGAGGATTCAGAAAATTCCAAAACGCCTGTTGGTATCTTGGCTTTTTGCATCTTAAAACAGATAAATCTATTTTCTTTGTCTGTTTCTTGTAACTGAGTCATTGTTGTCCGCCTTTACACGCCTGTTGGTCTGTCCATTTGTGTTTGTCTGTATGTCCATCATCGTATTCCCACTGTATTCCCTACAGAATTCCCATTGACTTTGTGTTTTCAGTGGTTTGTGGTCACAGCGTCCAGTAAAGGCTCTGTAATGTTTT